ATGTAATGTATGTATGTATGTATATGTTGTGTTCATCTTTCATCCCCGAACCCCCCAGTTCACAGGGCCGGGTGAACCATTCCGGGACTGTCGCGCCATGCAGAGGTGGTGGCCCTCAACTTGCTTCCCAGCAAGCAGTGGGAGGTCATTACCCGCACAGCTTCAGGCAGGGATTGATCTCAACGGACTTTTGTCGGCAAAGGACCCGGAAAATTCTGACATGTCTTTTCAGCCTGCTGTGGATCTTGTGGGTTAAGGGGATAAGCTGAAGTCTTCCTGGATCCTTGTGCTTGGGTTAATCAGCCAGCCTAGCCTCCGAGGGCCATCCTCATACGATCTGCCGTACTTGCAGACGGTGGAGCCAGATCCACCAAAAAGCAGTCTGATTCGGAAGCCGCGGCGAAACAGGTGAAGAAAAGCGGACGGTAGCAGACTTCGTGATCAACGCAGCCGGGCTCTGGTGCCACTTGTCTTCGAAGGCTGAAGCTGAGGGGGTCCAGGGCTGCGGAGGCGGCGTGGTTCTCAGCTGAGTCCCAAACCGTGCATGAGCCAGGGTATTTGAGTAATTATCCCCTGCAAGCAGTCACTGGAATCACTGGACCCGTGCACAGACAACTCAGGCGACAAAGTTGGTGCCATGGCTGGCGTCCGCGTGCCGTCGGTGGTGTTGCAGCATCAGTGAGCCCAACAGAGCAACCACGGGGACTCTAGGGGTGCAGAGACACTACCACTTTTTGGGGCGTTTTCATCTGGCTGTGATTTCCTGAAACATCTTTTGCAAACCTGGCCTGACACACTGCACTTAGCAGCAGTAGTCATGACTTGGCGTATTATGCTGCTCAGGGCAGCAGACGACGTTGATTCGACTGACTTTCGACTGGTTTTCATGCCAAGATCATTCCATGCTCAAGGCGACCCTCGCTCTCCACTCTCCGAAGCAGTCAAGGAGGGCAGAGCTCCGTCTGGAGCCCTGTCATTCTTGGCTCCTCTACCGTGGAGAGGAGCCACGCCGTCGTAGACACAGACGGGTTGGATGTCGCTTACAGACCAAATATTCAAGACTTCCACTCAGATCACCTAGATTGTGCACAGGCCTGACTCTAGGATCACTGCCGCATGATTATAAAACTACGCTCGAATTTCTTGGGGCGAGGTACTGCATCACGGAGGCCATCCCGGAAGTGAAGGACCGTGATGTAACGTTCGGTATTTCTTCCTGTCGTCCACGGAACTAGATTTGCACAAAGAGGGCGGTCGTCTCCTTAGACTATCTAGTCCTGTCGTCCTCTTTGTTACATTGTAAGGGAAGCGACAGACTTTGATGCAATACAATCGGCCGGCCATATGTATTAAGAAGCCTAAGCGCGCATTTGCTTTTATTTATGCGCAGTTTTAACAGGGACTTTGCAAATAAGCAGCATGCAGGTAGAACTCGCGCGCGCTCGCGGGACACTCACGCATACGATCATATACGTGTTGGTCTCTGTGTGTATGTATGTATCTGTACATATATATATATATACACATACACAGAGGCATGTATGCATGTAATTGTGTATATGCATATGTATACCCGACTGTGTGTTTGTGTGCATCAGGAGTACCACGACAAGCACGGCCACCAGCTGCCAGTGCTCCGGGACTTGAAGGGCTCCTTCTACGTGCGCGACGAACGCGACGGGATCCTGCAACTTGGCATAGCAAACCTCAAATAAACCTTACGGGATCCCTCAAAAGCGTAGGATTTAGGGTTTAGAAGTTTAGGGTGTAGTGAGAAACATCATTCATCGTGAAGGGAGTTTTTCGGTCGGAAGCGAGCAGTTGCTGTGGTGTGCTACACTTTCGACTGGGCACCCATGGTTTGATAGTTGCTACTCAGATACCAGTAGTCAGAAATTGAATGTGGCACTGAATTTCTGTGTCAAGCATCAGACCTTCAATTGAGCTTATGTCTGGAAGTGTTTGCGATTCATGCCATTGTGGGTTCAGGCGTTGAGGTATTGGAATTCAAATCATACGGTATATTGCTGAATTGCATACCCAGTAGTGCTAAGCTTGTATTCTATACTTCATAACCTGCATTGTTATATAATTTTATCTTAACGTGTGATGACGTTTTATCAGTATTCTGTGCACTGCTGCCTGGCTTGCCTTGTGCTTCAAGGAGGGCCATTGTTCGTACTACTAATGCGCTGGCCATAGCAGCAGCAACAACAACAACTACAACCGCTACTAGGACGACGACACTACCACCACTGCAGCTTCCACACCCACTACCACGACGAACACTACTGCTGCCTTCTTTTGCTGATACGGTTTGTTCGTTATGAAACTCTAAGCTACCAGCATGTAAAGTTTCTGTCTCATCATTCCCATTCCTCTGCTAGTTTGCTTCAAAACCCTAAACCCTAAACCCCTAAACGCTGTCTTACAACAGACTGGTGAACCTCCTGAAAACCAAGCCACGGCAGAGTATGAGGGTGTGTCCAAGTGAGGGGCTGTGTAGTGTGCTGTGCTGTGTGAGCTGGAGTGCCGAAGAGGGGCTGCTGGCCAAAGGAGTCGACCTAGTCGTTACGACATTCCTGCGGGAAAAAGGTCCGGTTTAAAAAAATAAAACCCCTAAACGCCTAAACCCAGTAGTGTTACTTACGCGCTTGGGAGCTTCAGCCGAGGCTGGGTCCCTACGAGTATTCGGAGGCCATGCAGCTCGCCCCGGCAGAGTGGCGGGAGACAGGCATGCCCAACGAGCCGGGGACTCAGGGAAAGAAGGAGGGAAGGACCGAATGTGTGCGGATACTATCTGTTTATCTATTCGTCTACTCTGCCTCGCTGTTTATGGTGGCCCTATTTTTTCGGTATTTTTTTTCCGTTTTTTTTGGTATTTTTTTTCTCCGTTTCCTGCGCTAAGCCAGGCAGCAAGCAAGCAAGCAAGCAAGCACGCAGGCAAGCAAGCGCGCTGGCAAGCAAGCAAGCAAGGCAGCAAGCAAGCAAGCAAGCAAGCAAGAGCCCAAGAGCCCAGCATGAAGCAATTCTCGAAGTCTGACATGCAGGTTTGAGAGTTCAGGGTTTAGGATTAGAGTCC